ATTAATGGCAACGAAATATTTTACTTTTAATGGTTTAAACATGCAAGCGAAGTTTTAGAAAGATCGGTCATTTAGTTCAGGGAATAATTTTGAGATAAACCCATAAACTTTAATTATCATTATTATTTTAAGAAATATTTATCGTGGCGTCTGGTACAAATGAACTTAGAGGTCATGTCTCACATGAGATTAATAGCAAGCGAAAAATAAATAGACACAAGAAAGGTTGAGAACGGATAAAATGACTAAGCACTAGATTCATATGCTCTAAGAAATAGTTCCGTCTTTAGGCGTCGACGAAACACCTGCAACGAAGGAGCCGAAGTTACGGAAGCCGGCAGAATGTTCCAGGTTCTGGCGGCTGCGACCGGGAACGCTCTGTCGCCGACGGTAGATAGACGTGTAGATGGTACGACGAGGTCCGCTGCTAATTAATGACGAGCGCAACCGTTTTCTAGACGAAGATCCGACACGCGCTGCCTGCATACCGTGAGATAAGGAGGCGCCAGACCATGATGGCATCGGAACGTCAGAACAGCGACCTTGAACTGCGTGCTCTGCTTAATGCGCAGCCAGTGAAGATCGCGCAATATCGGCGTCACATGGTCGAATTTTTGCTAATTGCACACGACTCGAGGAGCAGCGTTCATAATGTATTGCAGTTTATTAAGTGCCTTGGTCGGAAGTCCATAAAGTGTGGCATTACCGTAGCCCAATCTGGTCAGAACGAGCGCGACCACGAGAGCCTCGAAGACACCGCACAGCGCCAAAGCAAGCGGTGGTGGTATTGGCAATGTGGCTGTTCATTGAAAGTTCCGAGCAGCAGAATGCTCAGGTTGCGAACTGCGGACGCAGCCATGACGAACTCGTTGCTCACGCGAACAGGGTTGGCCGGAAGCTGATGCTGGTGCCGAGCAGTCGCAAACCAAATTAAGTCTTTTTTGCTGCATTGAGCTGGAGCTGGTCGGAGCGTATCTATTCCGAGACGGCGTCCATGGAGACAGACACTCGATCCCGTAACGCTGCGGCGTCTGCCGGTGCACATTAGCCTTAAATTTGGGTGTTGTCGGCGAACATATGCGGATTCAAACTATACGAATTGATTATATATGTGCAATGCGTCGGCTGTATGATACAACGGGAAGGAACACTACTCGTGACGAGTAGTATTCTATATTTGTGTAAATTCATCATCCTTGTCATAATTAGAATAGTTCTACAGTTCTAGTAAAATTCTTATTTCTCTTGACAGAGTAAAGTAGATTATAGATTGCCACTAGAAGAGCTAGTGCAGGAAGACTAAGGCAACCCATTCGCGTAACTTGAAGAACTTGTCACGCTATGAAATGATAATTTGCATCTTGAAATTACTCGTTGAATTCTGAATATTTATGTCGATTATAATCAATATTTGCGCTGATTATTTTTCTATTCCTTTCTTTGTATTTATTTGTGGTATATCTGATCCCGCATGTCAACAATAACGAATTAGAGAGGGAAATCAAAGTTCGACGATGTCACCATTGAATTGTTCCTGCTTGGCTAGTATTTAATGGCTCTTGAAATTCTACCCACAACTGAAACTTTTTACCAATTGGAGGACTGTAGGATGCATGTAATATGAAAGTGAATGTCTGACAATACAGTTTTAAAATAGTTTAATATTTTACCATCGCTGTAGTAGTGCTAACGCTGGGCGGGGCAGACTCGCCACTTTCCACAATGCACTGCCGATAAGCCATCAGGTAAACGATCTGATTCACAACTGACGACTTTTTCTTCTCGGTGCCGCTGTTTTCAGTCCTCAAAACATCCGCAAGTTCCTGAAGTTTCTCATAAGTTCGTTGTTGCTGCGGGGTAAACTTATCGATACCGATATCGTCTTCGCTACGAGGATTTCCGATGACGTCCAGCGCAGTTAAGACGCTGGCAAGACATTGATTAACATCGCCAACGGTCGGTGCGCGTTGCTGTGCGGCAGTTCGGCCATCAGCCTCCGACAACAGAAGTACAGTCGACCACAGAATGTGCAGAAAGACCAGACGACTACTCGGCGTAGACATTTTGCGTTCCCATGTACTTCTTCCGAGTCTCTAGATGCTAATCGTAAGAAGAAGCACTCACTTCCAGTCACTGTACCCACCAGCCGATGTACGCACTTCGAGTCACTGTACCCACCAGCCGATGTACGCTCCTGCTTCTGGCGCCGCAGGAAGACCGTCCAGCCGCCGCCGTCCGTCGTCTGGTCGCAGTAAACTTGGACGGCAGCGCCGCTGGGGTAGATGGTGTACACGCCCGATGTCTTCTCCGGCCGCTCCGAACAATCCGCGGGAGTGAACGGCGCCTGGAAAAGTGAATAAATAGCAAAATCTTTTTTATTTTGTGTCTACGAGTTAGATTCAACATTTTGATCCAGTCAATTCGGTCGTCCAGTCCTAAAAATTTGATTTCGTCTGAAGGGAATCCGAAAATCGAGTTAATTCAGATTTAATGGCCGTTCGTACAAATATTGCTGCTTGGTTTACTGCCATAGTTCAAAATTTACAGTAATGTACAGTCAAGTAACATTCATATATTTCATTTCTTATTCAGTTGCATATACCGTCGTTTGATCAGGTGTGATTGTAAGGCTACCAACTCTAGAACAACCTACATGCGAACTTTGCCAAAAATATATTGTTGATATATTCTCAACTAATTATTTTAGCTGACTAATGCATTCACATTTATTGCGCTCAAACTACAATCCCTGGTTTTGCTGGAGGCGACCTAGCGGGCCCTATAGCTCTCTGCATAGCTAAAGAATTGAATTCTAATACAATTTTGAGAATAATGGCATTGATTAAGAGAAACGAAGAGTTTACTGTCACGTCCGGTGCGGGTGCGACGTGAACTATCACTGAGAGAAAAAGGCCCCCTGTTTTGAACACTTGGGTGTTTCAAAGCCTGCCCAAGCGATTGTGCCCAAACCGAAACACCCAGGTGTTTTGAAAACGATCAGGTAACTCGAAATCTGTGATTTTGAGACACCTAGGCGTTTTGACGTTATAACACGAAAGTATACGGAGAATGAGACCTTCGTTTCAGAATCTCTGCAATATCCTTGTCCAGTTTCTAGCGTCTGATGAAATTATTTTAACATATTCTACTCTTCCGGTCGATCCCAGTCTATAGTCCAGGAAAAATAAGGTTTGACCCGGAACAAATTGCAAAAGAAATGATTTTTTCACTAATGCTCCAGAAGGGCATTAGAAACAACATACTAAAAATCCTCTAAAATGCAAGTAGTGGAAGGGTGTCAAATTTAAGATTTAAAAAATGGCCGCCGAATGGCAATATAAGCCCAATAAGACATTTTAAAAATATGACCGACAGTTATTTTTGTGACTTTATGTATGTTTTCATGTAGGGGGTATTCACTAATAATAACTAAAATTCATCCAAGGTGGTAGCAATCTAGTATTTGCAAAAACAGCCACCCATAAAGTGAAAAATTGTGATTATATAGGCATGTGGAATAATGCCTATGATATATACAGGCATGCACCTGGAGTGTGTGTGTGTGATGCAGGGTGAGTGTGCGTGTCTATATCATAAATGGTGTGTTGCTTGTAGTAAGGGGGCAGCATTGTCTAGAGTCTAGACCCTCTGGTGTAAGTTTTTAGAACATGACCAGCAAGAGCCCAGTAGTTACGGTTCTGGCCACTTTTACTCTGTCCGCGACCAGGGTCGCTTTACCTGTTCAGTGTTCCTAGTTCATATTCTTTTTGTGTATTTTCTGGTGTATTTATTCAGATTCTATGATATTTGTCATAACCGTGGCAAAGTTTGTATTATGTATTCAGTTTTTGTGTTTTTCTGATATATTCAATGATTGCAACTTTTCAGTTCCTTCACTATTAAAAGAAGAAATTTAGTATAAAATTTTTGAACCTCCTTCTAAGCCTAAAGCTCAGTACGTCAGGAGGTCTACTGTAACTAGTAAGTAGTACTGAAACTGAACCGTTCTAGGCATAGCTTCCTCTGAGGAAGGCGTCACAAAAATTATATTTAAAAAAGAATGTTAAGCAACACGAAATTTTATCAACGAACAGGAGTTTGAATCGAAATAAGAATTATATAAATAATATTTTAAAGGTAACCCGTTAAAGGTGTAGAAAACTTCACTAACATTAGCAACAAATAACACATTACAATCTGGCTGAAAGCATTCTCATGCAAAGCGATCCATGTGCAATTCAATGAGTCCTTCTGAGTCTTTAAAATATTCTTACTATCTGCGCGCTTTGAGATAAGCCTTAACCGCCTCGATTACAGACGAATAATCATTTCGTGACTAAACAGGATGATAATTATTGAGCTTTATCATGCAGCTCATCTGAATGGTCATGGACTTAGTATAATAAGTAATAAGCCTAGGAATTTAGGCTAGGAAACATGGGAAGGAAGATAAGCCTTGGGACAGTTGAGCCAAAGGGGCACAATGAGTGCCATCCAGCACCTACAAGTGCTGGATAAATTACAAGTGCCATCACACGGCCTCGCTGATCCTGACAGAAACATGCCATTACGTAGGTTCTTCGTGAACTAAATTCTAGATTTGTTTAAAAAGTCATTCAAGGATGGGCCAATCGTCAGCAGTTATACTAAAAGCCAATTAAATCGAGGATTTAATGCAGCCCTATGTTTCAATGCAAATAACTTTTTCTAGGAAATCTAAAGCTTGTCATGCATTTCCTTAAGCATGTCGTACATGTCCGTAGGCATATCCAGCATGTCCTAGAGCATGCTCCTAAGCTTATCCTACATGTCCTACAGGATGGCCTAAATGTCCCGCATGTACTAGCGCATGTCCTATCAAATAACTTTTTCTAGGAAATCTAAAGCTTGTCATGCATTTCCTTAAGCATGTCGTACATGTCCGTAGGCATATCCAGCATGTCCTAGAGCATGTACTAGCGCATGTCCTACATGCAATAGAACATGCATTAAATGTCCCGCATATTCTAAAAGATGTCACAAATGTCCTGCATATCCTAAATTTCCTACATGTCCTAGAGCATGTCACAAGAGTTCAAAAGTATGTCTTATTTGTGCTAGAGAATTTCCCGCATGTCTGAAGCATGTCTGACCTATCTTAGTGAATTTCTTGGATGCCCTAAATCATGTCCTACATGTCTTAGAGTATGTTAAAAATATTTTGGAGCATGTTTTGCATGTCCTAGAGCATGCCCTACATGTCCTAGAGCACTTTCTGCATGTCCTAGAGCCTGCCCTACATGTCCTTGCGCACGTTCTACATGATCTAGCATATTGCACATATTAATCCTTTGGTCTGATCATGAGGGCGAGTTGAGTGACGTGCTTCTGGTTGACAACATTCCAGACCAAGAACTCTCCAGTGGTCTCCTCGGCAGGTCTGTCGCCGGCCCACACGCCTGTAGGGTTCGCTTTATAGCAGCTGTTGTACCACCAGCCTCCGCCACCTCGCGTTCGCGAACAGCTCGCATCTGAAGAATCGAAACTGCATTTAGTTAATCCGACTTGCACATCACAGTTAAGTAGCTGTCATTCAAAAGTCGCTTCGATGAAACTTTTTAACAACTTTTGTTATATTCTTAAGCTAGGATCCTACGTTCATTATTGATAAGCCTTTTTATTTTTAGAAAATTATTTGTTTTGAAAAAGAGCAAGTCATGACACGGTGGTTTATCTATAGTTACGACTCAGCGAAATACATGGCAAGAAGTTGAATGAAGTATTTTCACTGTATCATGATTAGTTTTTTACTTCAGATGTTTTGATGATGTTCTGCAGTTTACTTCAGTGAAATTTTATAGGGCAAACAGACATTGATCCTGGTGTCATCTTACGTCATGTGTACGTCATAGGACGTTATAATAAGACTTTTTTCGTGAGTTCTCTTTACTGATGTTGTGAGTTTTTTAGGCGTTAAATGAAGATCATGTTCATGCAAATGAATAAATTTGTAAATATTACTAATATTAAATTGCATAAAAATCATAGAGTGAAAAAGAATTGAATTGTGCCCTGCATATTCATCATTGACCTCGTCATTGAACCAGTACCTGATACCTCCACAATGCACAATATACTAGCGATCATTACCAGTACCGGTACCTTATACCTTCTTAATGAACAATACACTAGCGATCATTACCAGCACCTGATACCTCCACAATGCACAATACACTAGCGATCATTAACAGTACCTGATACCTTCACAATGCACAATACACTAGCGATCATTACCAGTATCCGATACCTTCACAATGCACAATACACTAGCGATCTTTACCAGTACCTGATACCTCCACAATGCACAATACATTAGCAGTCATTACCAGTACCCGATACCTTCCCCAAGCACAATACACTAACGATCATTACAGTTCCCATACCTTCACAATTACCTTCCTATCTCGTCTTTTCAGTGCCTGCGCTCACGCGGTAGTGCTGGTGTGTGACGTGACGTGTAAGAGTATGGGGCATACTGCGAATGTTCATGATTTACTGAATGTTTATGATATGTGCAGATAAGCCAACCTAACTTTACTCGATCTCACCATGTTTCAAATCACGATCGCGATCGATTGTCGAGAACTGCATGCCGTCGTGGTAGTTGAGGGAATCGGCGGCAGAGCTGCTCCCGGCGTCGTAGTCGCCGACCCTCAGTGTGTAATTTTTACCGCCTTCCACTCTGATGGATCAAATTACACGCATATTACCCTATGAAAAACATTGATATGAATAACTTAACGATTCTTTCCTGTGAAGCTAACAATTGATATAATTAAAGCTATCAGTCTTAGTGGTATATCTCAGATTCAAGCGGATATACATAAATGAATTTATTAAAAATTGGAGCGAATTTCACCAATGAAAAAATTCACTGCGTAACCAACATTCCTTCTATACCACAATATTCCCTCTGCACCTCAGCATGCCCTCCGAACCACGTCATTCCTTCTGTACCTCAACATTCCCCCAGTAACCCAAACTTCCCACTGTACCCCAAATAGTCCTTCTGTACCACAACACTACCTCTGTACCCCAGCACTCCTTCTGTACCCCAACACTCCCTCTGTATCACAACACTTCCTCTGTGCCCCAGCTCTCCCTCTGCACCTAACACTCCCTCTGCGCCTCAACACTCTCTCTGTACCCCAAAACTCCCTCTTAGTTTCCTTAGTATTTGTTTGGGACGTAACAGTCCCAGGCCACGATGGATCGCCGCCTCTGATTATCGTTCATCCGCCCTCATTAGGGCCACCTGATGCACGATGCTGTTGCTTGCTTCTCGCCGCTGGTAGTGTTGCAGGGGAGGTCGATCTGGGATTGTGCTCAGGAACCCGTCCAGTTGTCTCTTGAAGGTCTCCAGGGTGAACTACCCTTCTCTTAGATCCCTTGGTAGGGCGTTGAACAGCCTTGACCTTGCCACGGAAAGTGATCCTTCCCGCAGGGATTGAAATCCGACTGCGGATCTGTTACGTAGTGGGGGGATCTTGCACAGTCTTCCCCTTCTCTCGTTGTGATATGTGTCAATCCTGAAGGTCTCGCTCTTGAAGTTTGGCACTATTCCGGTTATCATTTTCCATGTGTACAGAATGACATACCTCTCCGTCTCCTCTGCAGTGAGTACAAATCCAGTCGCTGTAACCTCCCCCAGTAGTTAAACTTCTCCATCCCTCTGATCCTGGAAGTGAAAGTTCGTTGGACTCCTTCCAGTTGCCGTATTGCGCCTGGTGTGAACGGATTCCAGAGCTGGCAGCAGTATTCAAGGATAGGTATTACAAGGGCTCTGAAGAGTGTGATCATCGGTTCCGCTTCTCTCGTTCTGAACGTCCGCCATTGCTGGACTTATTGCCTGGTCCTTAATTTGTTAGGCATTTTAAGACTGAACATATGCTCCTGCATAGCTTCGTCTAGTCTGTTTTTGAAGATGTTCATACTCGTAGCGTCAACGATGCTATCAGGTAGGCGGCCATCGGCTGGCGGGTCTAGAACGTTGGCCGTCTTAAATTGCTTGACGATGACATCCAAAACGTATTACGTGAGAAGAATACGTATTTAACTTAGCCAAAAATTTAACTTTACTAGCTTTATCTCGCTCTTATGTCTCTCCAACCATTTATCTCTAATACTTTCCGACAAGCAGTCATGAAAACAAAATATCAAGATGTAATTTCATAAATGTGTTTCTGCATTTTTGTCCTGAAACAAAGTACGGTGAAAGGCAGCAGTTTGAAAGTGATACCATCACTTGCGAAATTGTTAACTCTAATAACACCGTCAGTTGGTTTTTAACACCGTCTTACAATGTTTAGTTGTCAACTTATTAAACTGAAAGTAAGAAGCCGACCGTCATGGAACTCCATCTCTGACACCAAACTTCCACCGACACCGCAGAGAGGTCAGCTGGCGACGTATTCGGCCTGCTGCACGTTGCCGGATGCCCACGACTCAATGGAGTGCCATCTCGCTGACGGGGTCGACCGAAGGGGAGCTATAGCCGCTCTCGGTCGTCATCTTTGGCCAATACGGAAGATCCGTACACGGGAGATAGAAGGTAGAGAGAGGTGGTCGAATCCGGTGGTGGCTATTGCTGAACTGGCGTTTGGATGGCTGCTAGGGGCTCAAAATCTCGGGGCTGCGGGTTAACCTTGATATGGTGAAATTCAGTAGGTGCAGTTAAACACGTCAAAAGAGATCATACCGTTGGAAAAGCATTTAAGTTTAGACATAATAAGCATTGTATTCTAATTCTAAATTGGATGAATGATTTTGGTTTTAAACATCAAGCAATCGTGTTCATCTTGACCTACTTTTCTGTTGATATTGAACGGTTTATCATACAACACTTTTAACATGTATGGCTTTAACCCTCTACCGCCTGACATGAGTAACCGGAGCAATATTGTCACAAGCCTACTTCCCAAAAAGGATACGTTCTAGTGAGCGCAAAATGACTTGCACTGATGTTTGTCGCCACGTACGACAACTTTATGATATTCTCTGTGCGTACAAACGTCCTCAGGTTGCTACACTCAATAGTTTACATATAATTTCATTTGAAAGTTATGTTCCCGGAGACTGACATAATGCGGTAGAGGGTTTAAGTAAATTAATGAAATTCTTTAAAAATAATATCAGAGTTTGTTAAAAACTCTGTTTGTTTCACATGTTGTTGCATTATGACGTATTGTTATCGTTTGTGCTATGTGTGGTTAACAAGTACTGATATCGTTTTTGTTATGTGTGGTTATGACGTATTGTTATCATTTGTGTTACATGTTGTTATAAAATATTGTTATGTTTCCTGCGTGAAATTTTCAGTGGCCAGCGTTGCCGCTGTCTACCGGACGGTGCAGGATTTGCCCCCGGGATTGCGCTGTGTTGAGGAGAAGCGCTGACATCTTGAGGACATCTTTTCTGCAGCATTGCGATCAATTTGAATGCTATGATGTTGATGATTGTTGAAAAGAAGTAACGATGTATTGCTTACGTTCATTGCAAGTAATCTGTTGCATCTGTTATCTAAATTATGCTGATTGGCTAAGTTCGGTGTTAAATGAACCTCAGAATACTAATTGATAGCGAATAAACTAGCTCATAAATTCAAGAGGAAGGCTTATTTCATCAATTTAAAAGTTTCGAAGAACTCTAGATGATATTCAATCATCAACTACAAGGCAATTCTCCGAGGAGGATAGTTTGTTAGTGATTATATAGTGCGTATTAATGCGTAGTGTTCAAATCATTGATCAAATGCATAGACGTATTGTTTCTTTTTATTTTTCACTAGAGTTTAGAGTCTATATATTATTATTAGGTGCGATGTCGAAGACCGAGATAAGGACACGAAGCAACTATTTTCCTGTAATAATTTCTAGAAAATTAATCGCTGTTGACGACGACTGCACATCCGGCGCGATAGAAGGTGTGAGCGAACAAAGGGGTACATCTTCAGTTAATATGATTGTTTAGGAAAGCTTAAGAAGTTCGTAATGATTATTTGGTTCGTGAATCCATTCATATAAATGAAATAAAGATAATGTAACTGTATTAGAATTTGTACCATAATTTTTAATCCTTTTAGCAAAATCTAACGATGAGAATTACAAAAATTGAATTTACGACGTTTATCAAAAAATGTAAGAAAGAAATAGCTTTCTTTGAAGCTTCAGGAAGACCTTGAAGCTTCAGGAAGAACTCTCGAAGATAGCCGATGTGATAACCCTTGTGTATTCTGCTACTAACTTCTGCTGCTAAATTATAAATCCTCATCTGCATGCTAATTGCTTATTCACATCATTAAGATATGCCTATTCAATTACATTCCTTTATTATATTAATAATTGCAGGCACATATTACTACTTTACTTATCTTATGGGCTAATCTTACTTGAATAATCACATTACTGATTTACTCATCAAACGCCACTTGACTATTGGTATCGTTAGTGGACCTATACTGAAGATAATCTTTAGGATATAATTGGATAATTTAATATGTAAATTTAATATTTCTAAACATTTATGCCCAACTAGTATCCGCATATTTCGGTAGCCATTATTAAAGTTCGCCTTAGTTTGCAACAGAACACCTGGGCGACGCGATATTATTTTCCTCGCGAACAACATTCAAGCGTTGCAGCAGTCCATGCTGATGTTCTTAAACCCGATGGAATACAGGACCTGCCAGCTGAAGCTTTATCCATTATATTGTATACATTGATACGTTAGAGCAGGAACAAAGCTGCTCTAAAAGAACTGTTGAATTTGTCTCTCATTTAGAAGACCATAGCGTACGGAACAAGTTCAATAAATATATTGGAACCATGCTTAATACCGTAAGCTTGTCTTATATTATCATTCCCAATAAATGTTAATAATTTTTAAACGCTTGGAGCACAAATTTTAGGTAAATTATTGCTTCTTCAAAGCCCAGGTTTTGGTAGCCATGTGATAATTAATTCGAAAAAACTTTTGCTCACGCGTAGAGTAATTTAAATGTTCAGAATGGATCAACATGTTCAATTATTCAGGCATGCTTCAGGACTCTTATTCATGCCTAACTCTAATAAAATGGCATCATTTTGAAACAATATTAGGTATAATAATTATCCCTTTACATCGTATTGCATTTCAAATCATTAGAAACATCGCAAATCATAAGTCATTCACTCGTCCCTTAGCAGGCAACCTCTAAGACGCTGGGCGGAGAAGCGCGCTGACCTCGTAGCTGTTCGTCTGCCGCGTCCACGCGCTACCCGATGGCCTGCGTGTCATCGCGCTCGCACGAAACGGAGAGCTTTTCCTCCTCTGCTCCACCAGTTCCACTTGTCAAAAATCCTCAGGTTCTATAGTAGATTGACAGAAATTCCTCGCTACCTATTGCCATAGTCGGCGTTATCAATATCGCTGTCGCTCTTGCCACTCATAGAAATGAGTGTGACTTTGAATGTACTCTCTGTCCTTTCTGCTTGGCTGGCCAGCATCTAATAATTGCGCCAGTACCAGCTTTTTCAGCATTTCTTCTTTTTGATACAAGTTAAATGTTCTTCACTATCACGCTCTTTGTACCACATTCCCATGCAATGCACGCTGAAATTGAATTGTCGCGCAATATCTTCTCGCATATTTGTTTTCCTGCTTACCAGGTGTTCACCCAATTCTAGAAATTCGTGTAGGCTACTA